TATGCAGTCAAAGTTGAAAGATCAATAACATAATTCCCACGCTTTTTAACCTTTTCTTCATCTTCATCAGTAAAAGGAAAATCGACCTAATAGTAAAAATAATAATAATAATAAATAAATAAATAAATAAAACTATAATATAATCATCAATGAACTACGATAAAAATTTATCCATCATTACTAATAAACAAATAATATTTACGTCTTCGGTATTGATCTCTCTCCAAGTATTATTAAGCTCATCCAGCCTCTTCTCTGCAAGCTTTTTGATGTACATACAATCTTTGACTCTATCTTGGTGAATTCCTATTTGATCTTTAGTGATAGCTAGAAGAACGTATTCTACTTGTTCCGCATGAAATCTGTAAAATAAGACAGCTACAATACTACTATATGATAAACTTTTCAATTAAAATAACACTTACCCGTCAATACGTTCATGGATAACACCACGAACAGCGTCGTACCATTGTTTTTCGTTAGAATATTTACCTAATATGAATAAATAATATAATTGTCAAAAAAAAAAAAAAAAAAGTTATAATTGAATTCATATTATGGTAAGCATACCTAAGCTGACGGGATGCGGATATAAACCATCTAATTGCCAAACTTCACCATCAATGGGAACATAAGCAATATAATGATAAACTTCACCACCGCCTTCATCTTCAGAACCACCTTTCTTGCTTGGTTCTTCAACTATTAGTGAATCTTCTGGATGTCTGTAAAAAAAATAATATATATATATGTGTGTGTGTGAATAAATAAACAAAGACACAGTAATTCATTCAATATTATCAAATTATTGCATGTTCTATTACTAACCGGGCCATTGAATTATGAATTTGACGTAAAGTCGGATGATTAGTTATGGAAAAACCTCTAGTCTAAATTTATGAAATCAACATTTTGAGAATTTAATGTCTAATCTCAATTTAAAAATAATAAAATATATATACATTTATATAGTTTTTAACAAATGAAATATACAGCTGGTGGAAGATCCCAAGTGAATTCCTTAAATTCTTTTAATTCTTGATCTATTTCTATTTGTGGGCAATTCAATATGATATTCAATACAGCAAGAGTAGCGCAAGCATTTTCTACCACCTAAAATTAAAAGGAATTTTGGTAATATAATAAAATTAATAGAAACGAATGTTAAAAAAAATAAAAAAAATTGAATTGAAAATACCACCTGATTGGCAAAATAGACGTTTGGAGGATATTCTTCAACAGGTTCATAATCGGTACCTTTATGTAAACCTTTTACATCTCCTGTTACATCACCTATCATCTTAAAAAGAAAAACCAAACCGTAGATTTCTCTAAAAAAAAAAAAAAAGGAACCCCATATAAAACAATGATCAAAAAAATCGATTATTTGTATATTTTTATTAAAATTAAAATTACCCAAGGTCATCAAAATTATCTTGTTGGTCAAGAACAAATACTTCAGTTGCTTTAGCACCTCTAACACCCAAATCATACATCAAAGCGGTAAAAAGAGCTTTAAAAGGCGAATAAAAACATTATCTTAGAAACAGTTTAAAAAAATACAAAATAAAAAAATATGCTTAGCAAGTAAAAAACTCAAAAATTACATGGCTCAGACTGTAATTTAACCCATGGACCTTCACAACGTTCTTTATGACTAAGTATAAGCGAAGACATGATGATACTTTAATAATATCGGTTGTTTTTTTCCGATTCAATTTAACAAATTACGTAACAATGGAGTAAATGCTCCAATTATTAACGGATTTAGACGCGTTTTCAATGAGAACAAATAAGAGGTTAGATTGAGCAAATCACACCAAATATTCACAAACCGCGAACTTTTATACAGAAATACATAACTAAATCCAATTTTAGCAAATTGCATAACCTTACCGATACTATGGGAACTGCAAAAAAAAAAAGTCATACGTATAAGCATAACGATAACGATAAATTTCAATAAACTTAACTTTTATATAATACCAAAAACTGATACCTTTAGACCACATCTTATGAATTACATATCGATATGATTTATAAAATTAAATTAACGTTAAAGCCTTGAGTTATTCTTCCAAGTTTATAAAATTTAAGTTGAAATAGTTTTTTTTTAGAATTTTATTGTGTTACATAAATTGGAAAATCATATCCGAAGCAATATGACGTTGCTAGAATTTTTATTCTATGTATGTATAATATGTATACGTAATATATAATAACCAGGTCTTAACCAAAATCTTCAATTGTGGGGAACGGGCCGGCCTGCGCACCCCAAAGTGTTGGTCACACATGATAAATTATCATGTGACCAACACTTTGGAACGTGGCTCAAATTAACCCAAAAAAAGCCCGTTTAGACCCGCGGTCGGCCCGTTCCCCACCCTATGTGGATGAATTAAGAGCAGTGTCTGAAATTCAATTTCTAATTTAGTTGCGGGCCACAACTAAATAAAACGCTTTACTTGCGGATTATACGGATTTAGTTGCGCATATGAATGTATTTATATGCAAATTCGAACATCTCTATATGCAAATTCACAATTTATTTGCGGAACCTGCATATACATTTCAGATTTTAGTTGCGGAAACTTATAAATCATTTGCGGTCCGCAAGCTCCGCAACCCAATTTCAGACACTGATTAAGAGTACGTAATATGATATACGCAATAGGTCCAAAAACCTTTTTTTAGTCTAACCTTTTTCTAGTTTTGTTAGGTTTGTTAAAAGTTCAGTCCTTAAAAGTCTTAACCTGGTTGTAGACAACGGTAATTATTAAATCATATCCGTCGGGTATTAGCGGAAACTTCGTTTCCGCTTGTACACATACGGGTCAGGGTATTTTAATGATAATAATGCGACTTGGTTGGTTAATGATCATGGTTAGATCGGCATAAAATGGGCACGCTAAAAAAAAATTTGGCATGCCAATGGTCAAAATTCATGTCATGCCATAGGATATACTCAATTTGGATTGGACATTTTATTTTCTACACAGAACGTTTTGGAATAACCTATTTAATTATAAATCAACTCTTTCTATATAAGTGGACTTTCCGGAATAGATTAGTGGATTCAGCATATCGGCCCACATTCAGGTCGGAATTGATAAATTTTTTTCTAAATCGCCCAAAATTTTACTAATAAAACGGCAGCCCATGCACTAAGTAAAGCTGCCCAAATGATAATTTTGCTATAATATAGTTGGCCGATATTATTGCTTAATGCCACCTTGCTCCGGCCTATTCCTGACCCAAATTCGGGCCGATTTGCTGAATTTTGGTGGATCCACTAATCTATACTCTGATTAATTCTCCACCCAAAATTTTTTCAAAGTAAAAATTTACGTTATTAGATTAGAGCTTGAAATTGTTTTTTATATCAAACTTTTGCAAGAAAATTTTTTAATTAGTACGCAGACAAAGCGAACGTTTACTTTGAATTTCTTGATCGTGTTACGTTACACCTGATCTTGAAATTTGATTGGCTAATTAGGATAATTGAAAAATTTTTGGGTGGTCATAAATATTCACATGAGTGCCACCAAGTGAAAATCAGAAAGTCTAAAATAGAATTCTAGAATTCTTTATATAGCAGAATGTGGACAATCATTGAGTATCATTTAAAGCCCGTATTTTTTTTCTAAAGATTTTATTTTTAAATTTCTTGGTTTTCACTTGGCAGTACTCATAATTATACTTGCTGACAAAACTATTAAGATTTGGGACTGTGATTTTTTATGATTGTAATGGGGATTTGGAACAATTTTACTATGTTTAGGATTTGTGACTTTAATGGAATTTTGAGAATTTTAAGTTTGTGTGATCCATAATATGAACACATGGAATATTCGATCACTGATACGTAAGAACTGACAAGCCTTGAACCATAATTACCATGATTATATAAACATCTGATCAAATCAGTCATTTTATAAAGATGTGAGAATGGTGTGATGAAATGAATCGCTTTAATTTGATCCTTGATTGAAATAAAACAGATATAAAGGCTTCTTAAAGTTTTAT